TAGAATGAAATGTGGGTGATCTTTTTGAATAGTAATTATGTTTTTGGGTGATCATAATATAATTATTATTATTATTAAGATTATTTAAATTCATGATTAAGGTAAAAGAAGAAGAGTAGCAGTTATTATTAGCGAATTTGTCAGTCAATGATGTAAGTTGAGCTATTATGACATTTATTCATATTTTTGCTTAGCGATTATGGCATTTTGTTCATAAATAATGTTTTGCATTTTCATATTAATAAGACTAGAGTTAGAGATTTCATTGTCATCTGATGATATATTAGTAACCCTAGAATATTTATTAATATGAAAAATAGAACTACTTTGTTAAGAACTGGATTTAATTGAGGTTGAAGAGAAAATAGAATCAGGTTTAGTAGAAGGTGAAATCATCTGAAACTTTCTAGTTTTAAAATTCAAGTTTTAAGTGTTAATAAAGCTTATTTTATACTTGAAAGTATGTTAAGAATTTGATCAAGTTTCTTATTAGTATTATTATTTGAGTTTGAGTTGTAAATAGAACTATCTAAGGAGTTTTTTTAGGACCTATATCCTTGCCTTTGCATTTAACATTATTGTTTAAGGCTTGGAAATAATTCATATTCTTATTGAAATTTAGATAACGATCATTTTTATTTTTGAAGTTTCTATTAATCAGTATACAAGAACTTGTAGGCTTATACCGATTGTATAATTTTTGGACAGAAGGTAATTGGAATTAGGAATGTTTGTTATCAGAAGTATTATTTTTTTCAGATAGAATTATTTGAGAATACTTCATAATGATGTAATCAGAAGAGCTATATTTGTAATATTACTTAGCTTCTGTTATGCACTATTGCAAATCATTATTTTAAAAGTATAGTTAATTTTAATGACATCATTTAGGACTTTATCTGTTTCAGAGTATAAGATAACAAAGGAGCATAATTTGTAATTATTAGATATTAGATGTAACAACTTTTGGTTTTGGTAACGATGATGATATCTTAAAGGTTATGAGCTGAAGTACTAAATAGCAAATTCATGAGTTTAATGCAAATATCATTTTTGTATTTCACTTATTTTGAAGTAAGATTGATAGGATAAACTCTTACACAATCATTGTACAAATAATATAACTATTGCGAATAAAATAATTGGATGGAGTTGGAATCCTCATAGATAATATATGCATATTGTCATATACCTTATATTTGTAATTTAATATTTGTAATTTTACTATATTTGGTAAAAACAAAAGTGAGTGAATCTTGTTTGATGTTAAGATGAATATCTGTGATATACAAGATGTATTGCTAGAACTGCATGTTGTCTTTGTAGTCCTTATAGTCAATAAGTCTTCAATTTCCAAATTAAAAAATTTCATTAAAGAGGTATTGATCATTGATTTCTGATATGTAAAGTAAATCACTGCAGATCTAACAAACTTGATGTAATAAATATTGATGCTTTTGAACATATCATTTAGTATAAAGTGATTGTTAAGAATCTTGATAATAGTTTGAGTTAAGAGGTCTCTAGCTAGCTTAGAAATAAGTATAGTACAAGTAAAGAGTATTGAACATGAAATAGTAATGAAGTCACAATTATCAGTATTCATGTTTTTCATTATCTTTAATAGAAATATATTCATTCTTATCTAAAACATTAGAAGGTGGTATTTGTTAGAAAGGAAAGTCTCTGCAATAATAGTTTCATTAAAGAGAGTATTGTTGATAGATGCACTTCTGAAAGTTAAAGTAACAGGTTTATGTTACTTATTATTTTTGGGGTTAAAATAGAAGGTTTTTTTTGTTTAGTATTTTGTCTGCTATTTTTTGGAGCCATTTTGTTTGTACTTTTGATAAAAAGCCTTTTCAAGAATAAAATATTTGTTGAAAAGGTAACAATATAACTAATAGAGTTGAAAAATATTAATAAAATTATTTAGCAAAACGTTTTTATTTTCTAAAAAAATTTTATTTTCAAAAATTTTAAATAAAGTAAGAAAGTGTTTTTTTTTCTCTTTCTAAAAATTATAAAAAATAAATCATTATAAAATATATAGAATTGTGATACATAATCATTAAATACATATACAAACTTTATAAAAAGTATATTATTTTTTTATTTGGATTTTTTATAGGGATTAAGTTTTCATACTTAAATGAATTGCTTTATAATTTAGCTTGAAAGATTATAATGAATTTATTATTTTTAATGATGGGTGGCATTAATAATCAAGAATATATTATCAATTAATGTATCATAACAAACTTAACCTTTTACCTGAAATAAGCATCTTATTTTTGGATAATAATAAATTAGCAATTAAATTTTATTATAACTAGAAACTGGAACTGTTATAAATCCAAAGCATATATTGCATATTTTTTTAAAAAAAAATAATTAAAATTAAAATTGATGAAATGGTTGATTAATAGTTATATAATGTAAACAGAAAAACATACATAACTGATTTTTTTATTATACATAGAAATATATTGTCTTTTACTTTGCTTTGAATAATTAAGTTTGTTTATCAAAACTAAAAGTTTATTTACTTACCAAAATGCTAAAACTTAATAAAACTATGTTGAATTCTTATTAAAAATTTAGTAAATTTATGCAAAATGTTAAAATATCAAAATTATTATGATCCAGTGTAAAAATGTTGATACACCAATATATTTATAATAAAAAATAAATTATTAAATTTAATATAAACATTTAAACATTTTTATTTATTATATGGATTTTAAGAAATATTTTTAATATAAATTTTATTAACATATAACAATTTCTACAAAATATTTTATTAATTTTCAATTACTTCAATTTTGGAATCTTTATAATTACTAAAGATAGGCATCATAATTAAGAAATTGCAACTTGATAAGTTGCAACTCCTTGTAAATTTATTTTAACATAAAAATTCATAAATAGTTGCAACTCAAAGAATTGCAACTTAATTTGCAATTAGTTAAAAATTTTAAAAATAATTATAGAAACCATCTTTAATAATCACTTTCAGCCAATGATATATTATCACTTAATTTTTTATATTCTATGGCTTTGTTAAGTGATCTTTTCCAAAATTCAACAATAACTTTAATGGTAACCTTTTATTAAAGGCATATAACAATTTATCTTTAATGATTAAAAGATTTGAGTAAGAACTAGATCTAGTAATCTCACCTTTAACAGTTGATCAAACTTCTTCAATTGGTTGAAGCTTACAATGATAAGGTGAAATATAAAATAATTTGTGACCATATTTTTTAGCTATATTAACACACATAAAAGATACGTTTGCTTTATTTTGTTTTACTAATTTATACAATTCTGCTTTGCTAAAATTTTCTGAAATATCAATACTAGCTGAAGTTAACCAAGTAATTAATGCTCCCTTTTTGAATTTGATGTTAGTACACTTTACACTTGATGTTTGTGATAACAAGCACATCTATATGAATATTTACTGACCTATAGCATTCCTTAATATTAGTATAGAGTTTATCAAAAAGGTTTTCAAAGATTTCAGCTGTAAAATTTCCATGATAGTTAACATGATCTGCTAAAATGTTAGCATTTCAAATAATTTTAGGAATATTATTCTAGGCATCAGCATTTGCTTGTTTTCTCCTCTTGATAAAGGTAATTTTATTGATAGAACCCACATAAGAAGAGAATTAAGAACTACTTTACCATAAAGCTTATTAGTATTACTATTACGCATTATGATTATTGCTCTAAAATTATAATTAAATGATTATGCTTTTATGAATATACTACCTCATGACTTGGCATATAAGTATGATGCAAATGACAATATAATTTATCTAAAAAAACTTTTGACCTAGTCAGAACTTTGTTATTTTCTTACAAATTTTTAAAATAATATCATAAATAATGGTTATGAAAAGCAACATTTGCTGATAATTTATGTAACATATTTTGATATTTATCACAACCATAAAAATATTCTAATGTATGAAGTAAATGAAGTAACTGCTACTTTGATAATTTATGGCCATTTTCTTCAAGCTTTTGTCATAATGTTTTTGTTGAAAGTGAAATACCAGAAGTATTTGCAAACATAATAAAACTTCGTAAAAGTTCAGAAATATTATATTCAAACTTATTTTTTGGTTGATCAGGGTTTTTTGTGTTTGAAATTCTCCATTTTTTTATTTTGTTTAGCAACTACATGTGTAACTGTAGCCTTCTCAATACCAAGAACTATAATAACCTCCTTGCATAATGATATGTCATAATATTGTTTTTGATATTATCAAACATTTAAAAATGTTGATGAATGTTAAAAATTATTTTTCATTTATTGTCAGTTAACAGACTTCTGTCTCTAGTCAAGTCATCCATGAAAAAAAAAAGGTTTAAATTTGCAAGCTAATTAAACTTTGAACACAATCCAACCTTTCATATCATTTGTACAATCAAATAATAACATAATTGTTAGATTTCATCAAGATAAAAAAATCAGGAAATGATTTTTATGTATAAATCTTTTTGTACCGGACCATATAATGAATACTAAAACTGAAAAAACTCTGATGAAATTATATTAAATTTTTATTAAGGTTAAACAAGTAATCAAATTTGTAATTTTATATTAGTAAAATTTTAAAATTTTGATAATGATTTTAAATTTAATAAGATTTTGTAATATAAATTTAATATAAAATTTTTTTTTATGATATTATAAATTATTAACATCTTTTAATAAACAAATAAAAATAATAAATTTTTTTATTACTGTAATATATTATTTGATCTACTATTAAAAAGTAACTTTAACGTTAATAAATTTCTATAAAAAAAGTTTTTTTCAAAGATTTTTATTTATAATAAAAACAAAAGTTGAAAAAAAAATTAATTTTAATTTGTAAAATTAGATAGATAAGATACATATTTATTTATTTTAATTTAATTTGTCATATATTCACATTATTACCCTCCAAAAATAAAAGGGGGATTCCCTCTTTCCTCCTCCTCTAAGGATTATTGATGGTTACATTTTTCAACCCAGTAGTATCACACCAATCGTAAACAGGTAAACAGTCCAAATATTTACACCAAGTACAAGTTTTAGTAGGATCTTCGACGTAAAAATTTCTAATTAACAAGAAAAATAGTAAAGCGGCTATAGGGATAGCCACAATTCTCAAGATCCAAGTAATTTTTTTATAATTCTTGGTAGGGATTAACACCAAACCCATTACTACTCCCATAACAAAACCACCGATATGAGAAAAGTTATCAATAGCCGGTAATAAACCAATTGCGAAAGTAATTATTATCATGATAAGCATCTTAGTTAATTCAAAACATGGATTACGAATAATTTTCCAATTTTGAAATAAATCCAAAAATAATATACCGACTATGCCAAATAGAGAACCGCTAGCACCCACGGATGGTGTAGTAGCATCAGAGAAATTACCACCAAATATAAATCCAAAGATACCGCTTGCCATATAAATTAAGCTATAACGAAACCAACCAATATCAATTTCAATCTGTTTACCGGTTTGCACTTGAAAAACCATATTAAACAGGAAGTGCACTATCCCACCGTGTAAAAAGATTGGTGTAATAAATCTAAACCATTGATTTGGTTTATCACCCTTGAACCCTCCAAAACCACAAAGTTGTTCAACGGTACAAGTAACATCTTTAGTTGGATCGGTTGAACATAGAATTGGCGTATTATTATCAAACATAGGTACAGGTTTCATACATGGTACAAATCTTGCACCTAATTGAATAAGTGTGGGTGAAGCATTGGGTCCAATTAATATATTAAATGGATTGACCTGAATCGCGCTACCAGTTTCTTGTTTATTATATATAAATTCATAAATCAATACAGCCAACTGTAATAATGTAACAATATAAGTAAAATATGGTCGTTTCCATGATCTTTTTTTTGCTAAAAGCAAATCGGGATCCAAGTATGCTTTTTGTAATCTAGGTCCAGTCGTGTTGGATGGTAATTGCGCCCCCATACCAACTTGAACATTAGAACTATCTCTTCTTCCGCCACCATTTCCCACGGCTGCGTAATAACTTTCAGCCTCACCAGGACGTTGAAATTCGGCTACCCCACCAGGTGGTTTCGTAGAACCTTGACTATATCTCATATGTTGCTCTTGATCTTCTTTATATAATCTTCTTGCGAGTTCTTCATCACTTTCCACTCCTTTTTCTCTTTCAAAGGTAGTAGTAGTGCCACGAGGTGATTCTGGTGGTGCACTTGGCATAACAACCTTTGCTCCTGCTTCATTTCCCGGTGATTTCCAAAAGGAAGGATCTCCTGGATTTTTATGTGGTACTTTCTCTACGTCACTAATAACCTCACGCGTTTCTCCATTATTATTATATCCTTGTTCTTGTTTATAAGAAAAAAAAGACAATCTCGTGGGTTCTTGCATAGCTTGCGTATTATTATTATTGTTATAGGTTGTATCATAACCTTGATCTCTATGAAAAAAATTATTCCAGCCAGACGGTTGCTGTTGAGACATATTTAAAAAAATTCTTTTTTGAAAAAAGAAAAAAAAAAGGAAGGTTATTCTTTATAGGAAAAAACCCTACTACACGGAGTAGCTTGGCCAGAAATCTTAAAACTTGATAATAACGTTTCACAATAAAATAATTTAATATTTTGCCGAAAAGCATCATATGGGAGCTGATCTATTAAAAGTGGTTACGAGACATAGTAAATCATATGATCCGTACCTCAATTTTAATAGAATACTACCCATATCATATTAAAAATAGAGAAAATTCTATCCAGAAAATTATTCAACTCATTTTACTTTAATCCTTTTTACTAAATTTGGCGACAATATTTTTTGCGTAACAAAAATTTCCAAGAATAAACTATAAATAAACATTCCGAAAGAATGGGCTTTTTCTTTGGCCAAAAGTTGTACAGATCGGATCTTACTATAATAATATATATAAATTAAAAATCTATTACTCTATTATTAATTGTTTTGGTTGGTTTTTTTTTTAAAAAAAAAAAATGATGAAATGATTGAACTGAATGAACATTATTATTATTATTAAATAAAATAAAGACCACAAAGCTAAAATAATAAATGCAAAGTTATATTAATATGCTCTACTTTTTACTTTTATGTGTATTATATGTATATATATTTTTTATTTGAAAGTTGCTTTGCATATATTAAAGAGAATCAGAAATTTGTCTTTCTAACATTTCGTGATAAATACTAAAAGCTTGATTAATGATCTAAACAAAAAAAAAAATCTTAAGACTAAATTTGTCTTTTAACAATTAACTTTATGAACTCAAGTTATTTATTACGTACTTGTTCCATATCCAACGAGGGCAATCTCAGTAACATTATTTGGATTTCTGATTGCTCCAACTCTTCAAGATTCTCCCTAGTGTGTTTTAGCAATGCTACAAAATATTAAAAATAGAAATTTATGCTTGTTTGATTTAAAATCTCAAAACAACCAAAAATATAGCATATAACATACCATACCTAAACACACATAAGGGTGAAATTCCATAGGATTTTCAATAGAAAAATATGTATCTAAATACACATTTTATTGATTGTTTTATTAGTTAATAGGTAGAATAAAAAAAAAAAGTAAAAGAATGACTTCTACTCTGTAATGAATTCATCACCTCACTCTACTCTCACTACTTTATCGGACAGGTAAAACACAAGGTTTGATTCGAGCTTTTCATATGGATCATATTAATAACTTACCCCATAGTCTCAATAAATCTTCAAATTGGAGTTCTTTTGCCAATAAATTCTGTAACCATGACGAAGCCCATTCATTAATATCAACTTCCTCTTCTTCAAAATAATTACATCTAGAAATATCAAACATCATATCAAAAAATTAATTTATGACTAAACGAGCTACAAAACATGTGTATTAGAAAGAAGCTTACAAGTCAGGATTAACGGATCTAAATAATGTCATGAAATTGGCAACACGCTCATTTATGTTGCTATGAGTTAAATTATATTCATCTAGTATCATTAGAATTATTATTAAAAAAATTTTGTTTTTAAGATTTTAAAAAAAAAAAAAGTAGATTTTTGTTAGGTTTTACCTAGCATAGACATAAGCCTTGCAAAACAATAGTATACCTCACATTCATTCTTTATACAATAGACAAATGGTGCGCATAAATGAACAAGAGCCGGATGATAATCCACGTCCCGATTATGATTCATATAAGCTCCGATGACATTTTCAAAAACAACTGTATAATCATTACAATCATCGGTATTATCAAACCCTTTAATTTTACGTTGATATCGACTAACTTCACCGCGAACGCGTTTATTAATATCTATATTTTCTTTTTCTATAGCAAGGTATTCTTCATATTTATCCTTGATGCTGGTTATTTCCTGTGCTGCCAAATTTCAAAAATATATCAAAATTAATAAAATGTAACAAGGATCATTCAGTTTAATTTCAACTTACATCTATCGGCCGGATTTACTCCAAGTAGATACTTCCAAGCTTCCTTTAATGGAAAAGAATAAATCATGCAGAAATTAACTTGATGTGAAAAATAACATGATTAGATATTGAAAAAAGGCTAAGAAAATACAAAAGAAAAACAAAACAAAAATAGAAGTTCTTCTAAAAATAAAATAGAAAAATAAAAAAACCCCTTTTTTTAAATATAATTCCAAAATATAACAATATATTTACCCCTCTGACTTCCATGGGAATACCATGCCTTGAAGATTCTCTCAGCTTATCAAGATCAATATGAACCTCAGCATTCAGGATATCTTTGAACTCCTTAGCGGATGCAGACATATCTAGAATTCTTTGATTTATCCTGTGGCTTACCAGGTATTGAGCTGGCTGAGACACTTGAAGCATAAATATAGTTTTTAGCCAGTTAGGAAAAGGCCGTCGGTGTTATTTATAGGTAAAGAACTTTACAAACTTTTAATATAAAAAAAATTGTAACAATATATACAAAGAACTAAAAATACTCTATTTGTATACTTGAAATAGATTAGTTGACAAGTTACTAAAACATGATGAATAAAGGAAAACGAAAAAAAAAATTCTTTTAAATGAAAAGTATCATGTATTTTTGATCAGAAATTGGGGGAAAAAATTCTTTTTTTATAACAAAATACAATATATATATATTATAAATACAAAGTATAACCAAAGTTTTCTCTTATATAGTTAAAGGATACCGATAAGTAGATACCGATAAGTGTGAAAAGTAATGTTAGGGGAAAGGGGAAAGGGGAAGGAAGGTCAGAGTTGGAATATTTATCAGTGAGCAAGATGGTAAGATGATAAAAGGAAAAGAAAAAAAAAATTTTTTTTTCTGATGACAAGGAAATGATAAACAAGCGGCTTATATTTGGAAATGACAATTAAGGTTATTAATCGTCCAATAAATATTCTTTCATGTATAAATTAATTTATTGCATAATGATAAGCAATTTGAAAATAAGCAGTTTGTTTTTTGAGATTCTAAAAAAAAAAAAAAAAAACAAAAAAAAAAACACAACAAAAAAAAAACGGGCTTTTCGACTCTTTATCGAAAGTCGCATAGATGCGGATTGACTAATTCATTTGATACGCAATTTTTCTCTACCAACTACAAAAGCAGAAGATATTAAATTTGCGAGATCATCACATAACTATGTATGTGACGTAAGTTTGATTCACCAAGCGTGATCACAGGTGATGTTGAACAAACAGATCAAATACCAAAAAAGGATTGATTTTCCTCATAATAGGACCGACTATTGAGTAAATCAAGTTAGCTCAATGAAACGATACAAGAAATTACATACCAATATTGGGTATCGGCAAAGTTTTCATCTTAATCGGAGTTCGATTCCCGAATTTTTATTATGAAATAATTCAAATTGTCGAATCACTGACACAATCAAAGATGGAATTCTACATCTGATATCACATTGATGCATGTGTGATACAAATTCAAACGCGCCAAAAAGAAGATTGTGCGAAGCAACGTGTTTTTCCCAAATGTCAAGCCAATAATCAAAGGTTTCTAGATCGTGTATTATTCAATAAAATCTTGATTTCACTGTGTCATTATTTTATTCAGTAAATAAGACAACTATTTATATTGCACAAGTTTTACAAGTTTTTATAAAATCCCACAAAATTTCAACAAATTGACACGTGTAATAAATATCCATATATGTCACTTTAGAGTTATGTTAATTCCTTAAACGAAAAAGGAAAGTCATTTCTTTTTTTTAAAAAAATCTATTTTGTTAATATATTATTTAATGTCTTAAATGGAAATGTGATTATTTTGTCTGTCTGGAGAACTTGGAAGCATATTCAATCACAAATGGAGCTGCAATAAATAAAGTCAACAAAAAATATTTTAAATCAGAAAACGAACAAATTTGTTATCTTTACATGAACTTACCAACGCGTATAGCAACAACAGTAAAAACAAACGATGCAAAGCCATTCCAGGATTTTTTTCGTTGTTCTACCCTTTCTTCAGGTGTGGGTTTGTTAGGTTGCATAAACATTTCAAAGTCTCCAAGATTTTTAAATCAAAAAGTTGTAAAAAAAATTTTTGTCGAGATGGGGAGATGATGAACATATGAATATGATATCATATGATTTAAATATCACGTGAAATTCATATGAACTTTCCAATAAATTTTTGACGTAAAAAAAATTGATTTTCTTCCCAAATTTTTATTTACAACCATGGCTACCGATATTTCAACATATCGCTTTGTAAGTTTACTTTTGTAATTCAATTAAATTAAACTTAATTCAATCCTCATAATGTACAATAAAATTATCATAGAATCATACGATGATTAGGGTCAAAGACCCGCAAGTTTCTCTCAAGTTTTATGAAGAAATTTTAGGAATGAAGTATGTAAATTTCGATTTAATTCATCATCTTGTAAACATATTAAATTGTATTAATTAATTGATTTTCAAAATGAAATATATCATTATCAAGACTTATTGATAAAATGGATTTTCCAGAAAAAGAATTTACGCTTTATTTTCTTGCATATGTTCGTGATGTCTTGCCTGAAACTACCGACGAAAAGATCAAGTATATCTTTTCACGAGAAGCAGTCCTTGAATTAACACAGTGAGAATTCGATCTTTTATTAATTAATATTAGAGAGATTTATCATATCTCACATATATTGATCACGTAAATATCGCTATATAGTAATTGGAAAACGGAATTAGATCCAAACTTTGAATATCATCATGGAAACAAAGATCCTCGTGGTTTCGGCCACTTGGCCATTGCTGTAGATAATATTGAAGCCGCTTGCAAGCGATTTGATGATAATGAAGTTAAGTTCATCAAGAGATTGACGGATGACGGTAAGGATCAAAGAATAATAAATAATAATAATCTAAATTCAAGAAAATTAATTACTCATTTGATTCTTCGTAAATTAGCAATGAAAAATATCGCGTTCATCGCTGATCCAGATGGCTACTGGGTCGAAATTATTCAAATTCCGACTAAAACATGAGTGTTCCATTTTCATAATGTATGACTATGACGTCTCCAAATTTGTATATTGTTTCCATAAAAAATATTTTTATAAATAATATTACATTTGTTAAAACCTATTAAACGAAATTGTCAACATGACTTTTTTTTTCCTTTGAATATAAAAAAAGATCACGTATTTTTGTAATTTGACTTGATGTTTTGTTTTTCCACTAATTCATATTTTTCATCATATGAAAGAAGTAAGATTCCATCAGATCTGGGTCTTGTTTGTGAAATTAATTACTTTTACTTAGAAGTTCATGCTCTTTAATAAATTTACTCAAATTTGTGGAATATATTGTTAAAAAGTGTTGAAAATCCTAAGCTGATGATATATTAACGCTTTGCACGAACGCACACGTTACCAAAAAAGAAACAAGGCAAAATTTTTTTAAATACAAGCCAATCTAATTAATGATTACAAACACAATCATCTCTCTTTTTTTTTAAAAAAAGAAAATATTATCAGATTCTACTATTATGTTTAAATCGTTCTATTATCCCGGATAGTAATAATAAATTAAAATTCAAACGTAGATTCCAACAGCCATAAATAAGAATAAAGTTCCGAATCCTAACGAAAGTGAAGCAGGAATAGCCGAAGATAATTCTAATATTAATGAGGTTTTTGCTCTTATTCTATTATAATAAATTGGAAATGGTTAAAGATAAAAAAAATTACGCATCGTTGATCTGGAATCAATTTTGAAATGAAATAAAAAGGATACACAGAAAAAGTACTAGCAGCAATAAATCCTGATAATAAAAATAAAAATGCCAATAAAGGAAAGAAAACTTGAGGTATAGGTGTTTCGTAAGGTTTTCCTGTTTGCCAATCCGACTATATTGCAAAGGAAATTAGACCTTAGTTGTTTATTACAATTAAGACAAGAAAAACTTACTAGACCGGTCATTTTTAATTTGGAAATTTTTTTTTGTAAAAAAAATCTAAGGGAAGAGAAGGGCTAAAGTTTTTTTAATTTCGATTTTTTCAAAATTAGTATTTATAAATTCGGGTGATCATTGGCTAAATGTATACTGCCACGTGTCATAATTCAAGCTTCAATTTTTGGGAACTTTGTGACACATAATTCAATATAAACCGATTGATTGATTCTTTTTTTTTTTTCCTCTTTCTTTCAAGTTTCAAAGTGGTTAAAGTTGTTTTTTGTTTTTCGCCGTAGCAAAACATATTAAAGTCCACAAAAATGGAAAACGAAGAAGGTATTAAGGTTGATCTATATCAACCAAGAAAATGGTTGGTTCTCTTTTCTGTATCCAATATTTACATTATTTTTAATTTTAATTTTTTTTTTCTTTAGATTTTTTTTTTTTTTTTTTTTTTTTTTGTATTTTCTTACAAATGGATTTATCAAAAATTTTTCTACTAAAATTTATCAATATATCAATATATAGTTCAGCCACCAATCGACTTATTACCGCAAAAGATCATGCGTCAGTTCAAATTAACGTTGGTGAAGTTGATGAAAACGGTCATTACATTGGTAAATACACAACGTATGCATTATGTGGCTTCGTTCGTTGTTCAGGAGAGTCAGATGATTCTTTAAATCGCCTTGCGACTAAAGATGGATGTAAGTCATTAAAAAAATCTTTAATATGTATCATCTATTATTGTTGACTAAAAAAAAATAATAATAATAATAATAATAAAATTTATATAATTTTTTTCTTTGGCAATCTTCTCAATTAACAGTTCTAAAAAAGTAAGTATTATGTTATTTGTGGTGCCCCAATTTAATTTTTACGATGTAATTAACGTTTCTTTATTCTTATCTAGTGTGTGGTCTTTTCAACGTTAAAAAGTTAAACAACTTGTCACAAGAACATGTTCAGCTGATTTTCTCATACATTAATAAAATAAATTTCTTCCGCGAAATTATTTAAAAATTTCCCTTTATTTAGATTTTTACCAAAATGAAAATGAAGTTTAATGATATTGTTGTGATGTTATAAATTATGAATCGCCTACTTGAATAGATTATCTCAAAATTATTTAAAATATAAAAAAAAACACGTTATAATTCACGTAATTTACTTCTCCGTCATCAAATTAAGTTTTTCTCAAATTTATAAATATCTTGCAAGGATAAGAAGAAAATTAAAATGTGTGATATTAATAATATTGTTTAGGTTTCTATAAAATTGACATTCTACTACTATGAATGCTATTAGTCGCGTAAAAAAAGGAAACTAACATATTAAACAATTCTTTTTTTAAAAGAAGTTATCATTATAACTTAAAGTGTAGAAATGAGATATATATATTTATTCTCCCTTCAATTATGGCGTAGTATCTGTATATTCAGGTTTAACTTTATCAGAAATACGTGGATAATAGTACCATTTAACGAATCTTGTCCACGCTACATAAAAAAGATAAATTGATAAAGAATTAAATAATGCCTAAAAAAAAAGGTTTCTCATATAAAACGGGCAAAACTTCAAAGTCAATTAATTACTCACCCCAAAAAGAGAATTTTCTGCCTAACCAACGTCCTAACCAAGGAAGTAAGAAAGCAACTAAAACCTGTTGCATTTGCTGAACAAGTTCTTCCCATTCTTCATCAAAATCAGATATATCAGATAAAGCATCCTCAACTTCTTCTTGACCTTGTTGCTGCCCGAAAATTACTCGCGTTGCATTATTATTATTATTATCAAATTGTTGTGCCGATGGTCTTATACCAAGGCGTCTAGTTAAAGTACTTAAATAACTTTCATCAATATAACCACCTTCGTCTGTTGGTACCTGGGAATTAATGATTGGTGGTACTGCAACTTGAGCCATTGCAAAGAGAGGGAAATTAATTTTATGGTTTTAGACGCAATTAACGCATAGGATTACGTTTTTTTTTTCATGTGATCAACCGCCCAACGAGTCCATTGTGTCACCCATCACAGAATGTTCATGTAATGCCGGTCAAAAAAGTCACGTGGTAGCGAATTACTGTTGGGAAATATCATTTTATTTTTTTTAAAAATTTCAATCAAAAAGATTTTCAAATGAAGACAAATAGCCTTATTGCGAGTTTCTGGTTAGGCAAAGAATTGCAATCAAATGATATTGCACGAAACGAAGAAATTAAGGCTACTCTAAACAAATGGCAAAGTTGTCTGAGTCTTCGCGTTAGACAGTTACTCTTATTTGAAGACGAAAGCAATATTAGTTTGAAGGAATTGGTTTTATCAGATAATAAAAATAATAGTAGCTCTGCAATATGTGAGAAAGGCTTAATTAAAGAAAGTGTGTTTGTAGGGTTGCGGAATGGTACGTGAATTGTTGTTATACAGAATATATCTATATGGAAGGTTTGTTAGGAAAATGGTGTTCTGATAATTTTTTGACTAAACATTCATTCTTGTTGCATTCATCAAAAATTAAAATGCAATAAAAATCAAAATCCCTAGCAAACCTCCCATATATATATATGTGTGTATTTTTTTATTTATTTTTTCCTTTCCAATTGTTTAGTTTGATTTCTGCTTTATCGTCTTTGTCTTTATTTTGTCAACTAGACGATGTCCCTTATGATACTTTAGAAGCGGAACCTTTCACTAAAGCGTCAAATATAATAAAAGTTATTGCGCGTCAAATTTCGAATTTTTTTGATTTTAACATAATATCCACAAATGACTTTTTGAATTTGTATAATGATGAACTAAAATGGTATGAAAATTATGATGTATGTTTTTTTTTTTTTTTTTTTTTCATGTAGCGGTCTTTTTTAAATAAAATTTATCAAGTATTTTTAAATCGATCGAATCAATGGAAATTGTTATTATTAGGTGTATAAAAAATGTATCGAACTATATCTCGAAGAAGATTATTTTACAGTTTTATTGATAGTAATATCGAATTTGGAGCGAATATTTGGTGATGTAAGTTAGCTTTTGTCAATTCTATCTCATTCGATCCTCTGTCAATTTGTTTGAACCATATCCTTATTTATTTCCTTAGATAATTTATTCCCTATATAACGATACATCCATTATTCCCTCACTTCTTCGTGATATACTCATAGCGCCATCTCTCGTTTCACTTTTTGGAGAAGATATGATCTTTTTTCTTAGGTGTGTCATTGGACCACCAAGTTCAATGAATTTAAGAAATGTAATTTGGCATGGTTTCATTAACCCTCATGAGTTTTTACCCATCCCAGCTAAATTGTATTGTGCGTTCATGTTAACTGTTACCATGAATGTTTGCAATATAGTAAGAAATAAGGGAGTGATAGTTTTATTGAAGAAAAGAAATGGGATGAGCTTGGATGGGTATTACTATTTGACTCAACGGGTTGATAAAACTGATGACATGCACACATACGATTCGATAAAAGAAGATTTTGCTCAAATATACGAACGCCTGATGTATGGACACGGTTTGTTGACGAAATAATTTATTCTTTCTTATCAGATTTTAATTTGAAAAACCTAAGGCTAATGCGTTTTTTTAAAAAAAAAAAGCGATACCTCCACAGGGTTCACATCTACTGATCCTGGAAACTTTGCTTTTTAGAAATTTCTTTGTAATCTCACAATCTCATTCAGCCTGGTTACGTTCATTTCACCATTTATCAAATGATCAAGTGTTGTTATCTTTCATCCTTATATTACCGCTTCTTGAACATTGTCTAAGAAGGATTTACGTTTGCGTGAACAATGTGCAATATCATCGAATGAGTACCATGGAAGTTGGTGAATATTTTCTGACGCTAGATATTATTCTAGAAGAAAAGGTTGATTGGGCTTTTTTCGGAGTTGAAGAAGAGAAAAAGGATGAGGAACAAATGAATGAGATTTATTCAGAATTCGGAGGAAGCATCATGGTATGTTTTGTACCACAATTCTTTCTATTTTCTTACTTTTGTTAAAAATGTTTACTCCTTAATAACAATTTTGGTGATGAAAGGATTTACTTCTTGATCTATTTGTTCATGCTGATGGACCTAGGCTAAGGGATCGTGTAGCTCATGGAGAAACAAATCATTTAGTTTCTTCGGAATCATTCAATTTATCCAATCCCTTATGTAATTATTTCTTGGGACTTTTAATAGTATTATGGAATAAGTATAAAATAAATATACCATTAACTCATCAAGGTGATAATATAATCAAAGGAGATTGTCAGTCTTCAACGACTAGTGAGATAAAACTTTATGAGAGTTGGATATCTAACTATCGTTCTCGATTTCACCCAATTCCCATGCTTTGGAAAGAAAGCGTTCGAATGATTACGAATGTATGGAAATGTTGGAACGTTTATCGAGAAATGACAAAAACTGGCAGGTTTATGATGGGTAATTGGATCGAACCCTTTAGGGTTATGAAAAGTGATACTCCTGAAGATTCTAGCTTGTTTGATCAGGGGTTTCTCCAAAATATTGTGGAAGTAGCTAACATATTTAAAGTTGTACAGGAATGTTGTACGAGACTTAATAAACGTAAGCTAGGAGGAACAAAACACGTTGATGATAATTCGATTTATTGGAGTCAAATCAAGTTCACAAAGGATGATGCCAAGGTTATTAATTTCAGACGTGGGGTGATCAAGAAAGCCAATGCTGGGGTTGAAAAGGTAAGTTTGATTTGTTCATAAATTTGATTTAGAATAGAAATTTGCGTTACTCAATAATTTGTTTAATTTTTTTTTTTAGTTACATTCAATACTTATAACTTTACATTCATCAAATTCTTTATCATCACGTAAACGTAAGAATACCCAATCATTATTTAATTTATTTCCCAGCATGTTTCAACAATTATATTTTGCATTGTTAACGCTTGAACAGACTAGAAATCAAAAATCAATGTTGTCAAAATTAGTATTTGTTGAAAGATGGAATGGATTTTGCGTTGAAGGAAATTGGAAAGATATCAATGGAGCATTCGAAGAATTATTAAACCATTCTAAAACTGATGACTGATGATGATAAAACTAATTCTAAATTTTAACTGTGAAAATTTACTATATCTAAGATCTAAGGTCACCGAAACTTTGTTCATAAAATTTTATCAAAATTGATCAATATATTTGAATCACACAAATACAGTATAAACGTCATCACAAAAATTTTAGGTCCCAAAAAAATTCCATTTGAAATACCTCATCGTTTTTATGGTCTTCGAGAAGATAACCAATTGTTCGTGTTTATAAATTGTGATGCAGTTTCATTCGAAATAGCCCCACTAGCTTTGAGAGAATTTATAGCGATAAAAACCTGAATGTACACATAAATTTTAATGACATCAAATTATGTTATGTAGAAAGAAATTAAACCAAATTCATATTAACTTACCTCATCCCAAAATGCAAGCCCATTCTCCAAATCTGCTTTCACATTTATGCATCCCGTAAAAGTTTCATCGAGTTTCTTTAACGCTTCAGATATAGCATTGTCTTTTGATAAAGTAATCACATTTTCAAGGTACGTTTTAGCGATTATTCCCAGTCCTGTATTGGCATCATACAAGAATGGTAAACTGGAACAAAAACAAAAAGATTATTAAAAGGTGTGTAGAATAAAAATAAATAAATAAAAAATATTGACAAACCTTAAAGAGATTTCAAGGAAATCCTGTCTATCTTTAACACAATCCCCATTTAGAAACATTGATAAAGTTAACATTTCACACAAATTTCGCAAAGAACGATTCAATGCTCTCACAAAGCTATTAAAAGCTAAAAGCTCTCGACTAAGTGGACCATTCCAAGAAACTCCCTAATAAAAAAAATATGATCAAAGAGTCAGATAAGGAAATAACCCGTTGTAAAAACATAATGAATAAGATATGATATATTAACCTTGAAGTTTGCAGGAATTAAACTAAGAGTCCTTGAAATAAGGAGGATATGTCTTTTTTCCTCATCTTTTGGGGGATATTTTACTAAGGTGATTAATGAAATCATACATTTATATCATAATTCTAATTTTTCTTACCGCTAACATTTGATGGTGTATAATAAGTTCTGCTAAAATTATTACCATTCAAGTATCCGAAACGTATTAATTCTAAAGCAGAGAATAATTGTTCATGATGTGACCCCACGTTATGCTTGGATGTAACGAGAGCCTTTTTAAATGCAATACCCCACGGAGTATGCGTATGTGATAAAGTCAAGAAGCTAAATACATTATAATGAGCCATTTGTAAGATTCGTCCAATAAAGTAAGAAAGTCCATACACAATAGCACGTATAATAAAACTTGCCTTCTTAGGTCTAAAAGTTTCCACAACACATTAGCCAAAATTTCATCTTTAGATTCAATAATTTTATCATTGTTTTTTGGCATAACAGTTTTTGCAGCCTGGTCATCTGTAGCTGTTGCTTTTAAACAGAAAGCAATATCGATAACGGATGTCTATACGATATAAGTTCACGTTAGCAATATAAATAACTAAAGATAGTCTCGTTCGAGTTAAAACGATGATTACTTTTTGCGCCTTTTTCTCTTCCTCCAACCCTCTTTCCAAAACATTCCAAGTATTTAAAGTTTCATGTACGCTTGGCTGTGCACCATGGTTTAAATGGTGTTCATTACTTGGTTCAAACCAATAAACACTAACAACTCGCCTAGATTGATAAAACTGGTGCAAAGGCTGTGTGAGCAAACCCATGGCTTGTGTTCGGAGCTCAAGTAATTGACCAAGGAAATTTCTATACTCTATCGTTTCTCCATTGCACAAAGGCGAATTTTCGATCAGGACTCCAGAAATTAAAGTGTTAATAACCTATTAAAGATCACATACCATTATGCTTGGTAAAATTTCTTTTTTAATAAATTATTTTAACGAAGTTAAGTTATCATTGACAAACCTGAGGTGACATTAAACCCTTGGATAAATAATAGTATACTTCATCAGGTAAACGATACCCAATAACATCATGAATATCACTTGGTGCGTTTTCGAGGTTCAATGGTTCAACCTTTCCCTCATCTGTCAACACCATATGATATTTTATGGCACACCTGGTGCGACAATATGCTTCCGCGTAATTGTGTTTGGTCACTCCCGCGTGATTACAATAGCTTTGAACAGCATTGAATCCAGTACGATATTGCTTAATTAAATCATGAACACTTTTAAAGGTGAAGCCGCTATAATCAGAACTAAGAGGCGGGAAGGTGATACAATGTTCAAAGCCCGCAAGAATACAAACATCAAGAAATTGTTCGTCTGTTATATCAAGGTCATTCAAAATTGATTTCTTGTTGAGCCAAGAGTATGTACCTTTCTGTTGAGTAAAACAAATGTTAGGGATTCATTTCGAATTATAGTAACTAGAATTGTAAGATCAAAATAACACGAACCTCTAAATCCAAGTTTATGATAACTTTGTCAATATCATACATCAATAATTCAGATCCACCGTAGATTGCGTGGATGAATCCTTTTTGATGACGTTCTAAATACACTAACTTGTGGATATCACGAGGAATTTTTATTTTATAAAAGATACAGACAGATTCGACGTGAGTTATGTTTCTTTCACATTTGTTCTTGGAGTAACTATAATTTATAAAGTCACTTCATCGAAAAGCAATGAAAAGCGAGATTACGATAAGTAAATCTATCGAATCGTCGACTAACAACTTGGCACAAAATTAAATGATAATAGATACATCCGATCACGTAACAAGAAAGCACGATAATATTAAAAGTTGTCTACAAACCTGTCCCCAAGCCAAATAAGGAGCACGCATAAATTCCACATCATTCTCCTTCAAAATACTGAAAACAAGATATAACAAGTCTGGTTGATGCACGAACCCAGACACTGCTCCTGCCCAGCTACTGTAGGCTTGTTCCACTCGACCCTTCTCATAAGATTCCCAAGCTAGAACACGTTTCGAGGGTCTTGTATCCTCCGTTGAGAATGGTTTATCTTTTCGAATTATATTAAGTCCATTAAACACAAAAACTGGCGTAATTCCGTATGATCTACGAATATCAAATTTTAAAAAAAAAAAAAATTTTTTTTATAAGCGATTTGGAAATTAAAAAAAATATATATATATAAATTGAAATATTGAAACGTACTTGAATAATTCTAATTCTTTTTCTATTGCTGATCTTAATCCAATTGGTATTCCGCCTAATGCAGTAGTCGCAGATTCCTTTGCAGAAGTTTGCAAAAGTTTCCTAAGCCAATGTGTACCCTCAATTCCAAGACGAGAATCTTTTAGAAGAGAAAGTGAAGAATGTTGAACCAGACGACGCTCAACTGTAAAAACTACAAAATACAGCAAAAGTAAGCAAGAATAATCTCTTTATAAGGCATACTAAACATAGAGATAGATTGAGCTTACTTTCGAAATGTCTAATCATTTTAATAAGGTTTCTGCAAGGTTTGACAATTTTTTTTTTTTAACGATCTTTTTATTGTAAAAAGATGCATAATTTTGTTATCGTACAAATCTGCACGGGCATTAAATTTACCAATCAAATTTTGTTAAGTGGCATATAAAAGGTAGAAATTGTTTAAATTATGTTTCGAGGTCTCATTTCGAATTTTTTTGTAAATAAACCCAAGTTATTGATAATCCCGGCAATAACTTCAAAGCTTTACCTTAGGACTAACTGGTAGAGTAAGTTCAACTTGAGATTATGAGCGTCGTTATTCTTTGCAACTGACCTTCTGAGCCTTAACAAAATCCAATCTGTTCGAATGATTACTCTTTTATGAATAGATAAAGTAATCATGCCGCTCTCACCATTATCAGAAAGCGAGTCTCCTCTCCACAATAATACCAATGGAGATACATATGTCAATCCTTTTGAAATTTCGGACGATATTTCTTCGCCAGATCCTCATGCAACAATCGAACCTGACGATGTCGATCTTTCGACCCCTGATACCATTAAAACTCAAGCAAAAGCTAAAAGTCCAATTCCTAAAGCCACAACTACTATTAATATTGAGCAAACACCAATACCCGTCTCAGGATCGATTGGTCAACAGCCCAGACCTTATGCTAGCGATACTCTTGACGAGCCAGTTTCAGAAACCATTGTAAGGTTCAAGCTTTAAATGAATTGATTCAATTTGCCATTAAATAATCTCCTATTAACAACTTGAATATTTTGCATTAGCTTCGTGATTTGAGGAATGTGGCGGTTAAGTTACAACAAGTTCTTCATCCGAAAGGACGTAGAGATGTATTAAGAGACTGTATATATATATATATTTATTTTATATTTATATTTATCCAATTTCTGTAATTATACTATAAATTTACAGTGAGCAACGATTTTTATCTTTATTATTAATTAGGGGATTTATGGGGTCCATTGATCCTTTGTTTAGCTTTAGCCATGTAAGTTTTTTTTTTAATATAAGATTAGAAATATACCCTTTTTTAAAGCAAGAACGAATATTTATGATTTTTTGTTTAATTTATGATAGAATGCTGAGCTTTGCACATAAAGATCAACAAGTCTTGGTTTTCACCAGTGTTTTTGTCATTGTATGGTGTGGGTCTGCTATTGTGACGATAAATGCCAAATTACTAAGAGGCACTGTGTATGTTAATGATTTAAAATCTTGATTCTGTTATTTCATTTTGAATTGACTCTGGTTAATATTTTTTATTTTTTTAAATGCAGTTCATTTTTCCAGAGCGTTTGTGTTCTAGGTTATTGTATTTTCCCGTTAGTGCTCGTTGCGTTTGTAAACATTTTTGTAATCAAAATTTATATAAGGCTGCCACTTGTAATTATTGCATTTGGATGGTCATCATACGGTAAGATTTTTAAGAATCTGTTTGAATATGATTTAAAATCATCATAAATTCTAATTTATCATTGCCATCTAGCATCTGTAAACTTCCTCTCTGCTTCACATTTAGCAAATCGTCGAGCATTGGCCGTATATCCTCTCTTCTTATTTTATTTCGTTATCGGTTGGATGGTATTAATATCATAAAAAAATATTTTAATTTATAAAAATGTATATTTAGGCCGGACAAAAAAAAATTGATTCTCGTGACGAGCTCCCAGGTTTTTTTCCCCTCTTTTAATATAGAAGATTTGTTTCAAGGATTTTTCTACATCATCATAAAAAACTTGACAAAAGAATTTAAAAAATTTTTTTTTGCTCGACCGTAATAATTTCAATACGTAATATTGCCTATCTCATATAAAATTACATTAGCTAAGCCGAAAATTGCATCAGTATTATCGCATTAAAAAGACCTGTCAAGAATCCTCGAGTTCAAACAAAATAAGAAATAATTGATTGGATGTAAAACATTTTTTAATTATAATTCTATTGTATAAAGTTAATACCATTAATTTAAACTTTGTTCATTTTTAACTTATGATGTTCTTGAATCCATAAATTAATGATGATAATTTATTCTCGTGTTTAAAATACAAATACTGTTTATGGGGAAAATTATAGGTAAGAAAAAATATACTGGAGGACATTTGATTATGTAAAAAGGATTTAATAAATACTTTATATGTTATAATATACATACAGTAATTATATTCCTTAATCTTCAACCATTAATAAAATATAATTTGGGATTAGGTTATTCTTTATCAAAATACTAATAATTGAATTTCAAGCAGATTTAATTGCTTTTTTTTTTTTAAAAAAAAAAATTCTTCAGTTTTTATGATTTTTCCTTCCCTTTTTTATTCGTTCTTTGATAAAGTAACTCGATCAATTGTTCTTTTAAAGCCAAGCTTTTGGTAAGGTCATTCAGGCAATTTGGAGAGAAATTTCAACAGACGATATAAAGGTTTCGGTATATCTAGAGTTAATAATAACTGACAACAAATTTCCATATTGTGCATTTCGAGGATTAATGATAAAATCGGTCCTTTGCTAATCGATTTGCTAATCCGAAATAGATTATTGAAATTACATGGAAAATTTTTATAATCAGGTAGGGTATGGAGAAATTTTTTTTAAATAATTATTATTCACGTCATAAAACTTTGTCGCCATAAGTAGTTCTACAGGTAATGCGTTCGCGTTGTTACGTAGCACCTTATTTCAATATTTTTCAATGATATCTAATTTTTTTTTTTAAAAACAAAAAACAAAATCAGGGTTCATTTGCCAATTCATTACTCAGTACGGATCGTTACAAAATTCGAGCATTAACTCGTAAATTCTGAAAAGGCAAAAGTCTTAGCAGCTAAAAGGGGCTGAAGTATTAAATGCGATTTATCTGGTAAAAAAGACATCAAGAATGCTCTGAAGGATGCGAATTTTGCATATATTATGGATCCAGTAATGTAAAGTTCAAGGATTTTTTTTTGAAGGATCGTTTGAACTGCAATAATCATAATGAATTCATGTTAAATTTAGTCAATCGTTGGCAAAGGCGTTAACGAGGAAGAAAGGATCGGTAAATTGATTGCCGATGTTACAAAAGAAACCGGACTTAAAAGGTTAATATATAGGTAAATAATATATTATTATGCGTGCTCACGACAATCCAAGTCGAAATTTAAAAAAAAAAATTTTAGTGGTTTTCCTGAAGTTGCCACCGAATCTAACATAAACATAATGTAGAGAAATATATTAAAACGTTTGAAATTACAAGTGTTACCTCCGTGATTCAGAAATATAACGGAGAATTTGAAATTGGATGATGTTGTTGATTGCTTAAAAAATAAATATATACTAAATAATTTGATACGAAAAAAAAATTGACCTTAGTAAAACCTCAAATCATTACTTTTACAGTTACCGGAAAACCTTATAAATTAAACTCTTGACGAAAGTATTGGCAAAGAAGAAGGTAAGAGCTACAACGACGATATTAAACAATGGTATATATACTGTATGTATATACATTTCAATTCTTTTTTTTTATTAATAAAACATTCACTGTTCTTGTCTTTATTGTGTGTTTTAAAGATTTTAAAATTATGGAAAAGATAAAGATATTTCTATCGCTAAATCAAACATTCTCTCACCTTGCAGATTTATTTCGTAAAATAAATACTTTTTGATGTCACAAATATCGAGAACTTTTTGATTTATATTAAAAATTACTATTTAAAATTACCCTTTCAAATTTTCATATTTCATTAAGTCGTTTTTCATTGGTTACCAACTCGCTTAATTGAGGAAATTTTTCACTTAAAAAAGAAAAAATTAATCAGTAAAACAGAGTAAAGTATTTTGGCATTGCTGTAACCAACCAAGGTTGATTTGTCTTCGCTAAGGAAAAATAGCAAGAG